GAGCTCCATCGTGAGCTGCGACGGCCCTTGATGCAGCGCTCCGTCTTTTCCTTTGCCCAGACTACACCCCGCGAGCTCGTGCGCTCGCGCATATCCGTCCCCGAGATCCAGCAGCGCGCCCTCGCCTACATCCCAAACGATCTGCTCGCAAATATTCCAGAAGATAATAGCGAGTTTTCGCTGTTCCAGGGCTTCGAGGCCTCGCTGCCAGACAAGCCCGACAGCATCCTCCCCCGCTCCTCGGGCGCCCGCCACAACGCGCGCGGCCAGCGACTGATAGGCGCCGGTGTCGAAGATGACGACCCCAATGTGCCCCCGTCGATGCGCAAGCTCAAGACGCAGCGGAGCTCAATGGCCCACCGCCTCGAGATGATGGGTGTGCGCAAGCACATGTGCGTGGCCGAGATTCATGAAATCGACAACAAGATTGCCAACCTGAACACGATGCGCAAAATGGTCATTGATCGTCTGGCGGGGCTCGAACTCGAAGAGGGGGAGCTGGAGCAGGATCTGTTAACTGTGGATAACCAAATCGAGGACCTGCAGGAAGAGTTGGACGATGAGGCAGCCCTGGCGCCCAAGACAGCAGGGTCGCAAACAAGTGACGAGCAGTCAGAAGGCAAGGGCGAGTTCATGTCCGAATCGATATATCAAAAGATACCCTCGTCGCCCAAGACAAGAGGCAAGGCCAAGCGCCTCTCGAAGCGCATGTCCATGCCCGTCCTACACGAGCATCTGCAATCAGGATCTAAGATCAAGGAACTGCCCGCACATATGGAATCTATTACAGCTATGGACTTTGATGCGCCGTGGGGCATGATGGTCTCGGCTGCCTTGGATGACACTGTACGCGTATGGGACCTCAGTGCTGGACGGTGCATAGGAATGCTCGAGGGTCACCTCTCTTCAGTACGCTGCCTTCAGGTCGAGGACAACATTGTCGCCACTGGTTCAATGGACGCTTCGATACGGTTGTGGGATCTGAGCAAAGCCGAGTATGCGCCTATGGACAACCGGATAAACAAGCAGGATGAGGAAAGTGATGATGGTCTTGCATTCGAAAACGCAGAAGACGCGCCCCCCGCGCCTCCGTCGACTAGCATGCAAGACTGCCCCATGTTTTCTCTGGAATCGCATGTTGACGAAGTCACGGCGCTCCACTTCCGCGGTGACACATTGGTTTCTGGTTCTGCCGACAAGACACTCAGGCAATGGGATCTTGTCAAAGGACGCTGTGTGCAAACGCTGGATGTGCTCTGGGCTGCTGCGCAAGCAACCGCCGCAAACACGACCAACAGTGGATGGAAACAGACTGGCCGTGCTACTGATAGTGCTGCTGATTTCGTTGGAGCCATCCAAGTCTTTGATGCTGCACTCGCCTGTGGTACCGCAGATGGAATGGTTCGCCTGTGGGATCTGCGAAGCGGTCAGGTACACAGGAGTCTGGTTGGCCACACCGGTCCTGTCACTGCTTTACAATTCGACGATGTTCACCTTGTCACCGGTAGCGCCGATAGGAGTATTCGCGTAAGTTGGAGTCAGTCTTACACAATCATGTCGCTAACCTGTAATCTAGATTTGGGATCTCCGAACCGGCGCTATCGCCGATGCTTACGCCTACGACCACCCTGTAACCAGCATGATGTTCGACTCGCGTCGTATTGTCAGTGCAGCTGGTGAGGATGTAGTCAAGGTATACGACAAGACGGACGGAAGACACTGGAACTGTGGACCCGGTGCCAACGAAGAAGACACGACAACACACTCCATCATTGAGCACGTGAGAATCAAAGATGGCTATCTCGTGGAAGGACGCAAGGACGGCACAGTTGGCATATGGTCTTGCTAGAAGTAGCGGAGTGATGGTGGCTCAAGAGATGGATGTATATACGATTGGAGTGTACGCATACATGGCCAGGCATGAACATGGTGATGGTGTTGTACGACTAGAAGATGATCTTTGCCCTCGTTTGCTGTATTCTTAACGCCTGGGCGTTTCTATACACGGAACATAGTATGTCTATGTAGAATATTATCTTTGCGATTCTCCTTTCTGAAATAGTTGCGCGACTGTTGTGTGCATATGTGGTAGTGGGTACAGAATACCTGGTTGACAGGCATGCAGGGGTGGCCGGCAAGCTCCGAGTTCAGCCATCAACCCATCATTATTGATGGTGACGTAACCCGGCATCCGACAAACATTTCCGCCCTTCCCAGCAACCTTTTTTACTTGTCTCTACGCAACTGTGACATACCCAGAAGGCACTTGCTGTCCCTTCCATATGATATCACTGCGTTAATTTTGCAATTGTGGTCCAATTGCCGACATACCTTTCGGGCGCGTTCAGCCCGCAATCTCCCTAATCACTACTCCCACTCCTGCTTCCGGTTGCATCGCTACCACTCGGATCCTCCACAATGCTCCCACGGCACGCCACATCGCTGTCGCGCGGATACAACATCACCTCTAGAGCTCCTCTTCTGTGTAGGAGATTTCCTCGCCCTCCGACTTCCCAATTCCGCACCTCCTTTAGCAATGGCAGCCCCGTGTCTGCGTCCAAACGCGCTACCCTGCAGCTATCCCCCTTGAGCAAGCAACACCCCGCCTCTACCGTCATACGAAACCAATCTACGAGGACACACCCAGCGGAAAGGTCACGGTTGGTGCGATACACATACAGGACAATAGCAACCCTTGGCTCCTTCGTCCTTGTGAGCGGCATTCTTGTCGCCGGCTTCTTCGTTTACGATGCCTACACCTACAATGAGGACCCTATCACCGAAGACCTCCCTGTATCAGAACTTGCTCTGAATCCACCCAGGGGAGGACCAAAGAATCTTCCAATCGCCAATCACTTTGTAGACGATGACGAGAGCCCTGAGAACAAACAGCTCAAGCACAAACCCAAGCTAGTCATTCTGGGCACGGGATGGGGCAGTGTCGCGCTTTTGAAGCAACTAAACGAGGATGATTATCACGTCACAGTAATTTCGCCATCGAATACTTTCCTTTTCACACCTATGCTCCCGTCTGCAACTGTGGGTACGCTGGAACTGCGATCGCTTGTTGAGCCCGTCCGAAGGATAGTGAGGAGAGTACGTGGACATTTCCTCAAGGCAAAAGCCGAAGACGTCGAGTTTTCAGAGAAGCTTGTTGAGTGTTCAGCTGTAGATGCCCAAGGCAAGGAACAACGGTTCTACGTTCCATACGACAAGCTGGTGATTGGTGTTGGATCCGTGTCCAATTCACACGGTGTCAAAGGCCTAGAACATTGCCATTTCCTCAAGGATATCAGCGATGCCAGGATCATCCGCAATCAAGTAGTCAAGAACCTCGAAAGTGCGTGTCTGCCGACAACTTCAGACGAAGAGAGGCGGCGACTCTTGTCGTTTGTGGTCTGTGGGGGTGGACCTACTGGCGTAGAGTTCGCGGCTGAGCTCTTTGACATGCTCAACGAGGACCTTTGCAAACTATACCCAAAGCTTTTGCGCAACGAGATTTCTGTTCATGTAATTCAGTCGCGTGGCCACATTCTCAATACTTACGATGAAGCATTATCTCAATATGCTGAGCAACGCTTCGCTCACGACTCGGTCGACATTCTCACAAATTCTCGTGTTAAGGAGGTTCAATCAGACCGGATTCTCTTCACACAAAAAGACGAAGATGGCAAGTTTGTCACAAAGGAAATTCCCATGGGCTTCTGTCTTTGGTCTACTGGCGTGGCTCAAACAGACTTCTGCAAGCGTCTTGCTGCTAAACTCGATGGTCAGAACAACAGACATGCTCTGGAAACCGATACACATCTCCGTCTCCACGGAGCACCCCTTGGAGATGTCTATGCCATCGGTGACTGCGCAACCGTACAAAATAACGTCTCTGATCACATTGTGAACTTTCTCCGCACCACGGCCTGGGAGAAGGGCAAGGACCCTGAAAGCCTGCACATTTCCTATTCGGACTGGCGTGGCATTGCTAAGCGTGTCAAGCAGCGATTTCCTCAAGCTTCCAACCATCTCCGCCGTCTAGACAAGCTCTTTGAGCAATACGACAAGGACAAGTCGGGCACTCTCGACTTTGGTGAGCTTAGAGAGCTGCTTTTCCAAATCGACTCAAAGCTCACTTCCCTCCCTGCCACCGCTCAGCGCGCTAACCAGCAGGGCGAGTACCTTGGCCGCAAGTTCAACAAGATTGCCCAGGCTGCGCCAGGTATGGCTCTGAACAATGTCGACTATGGTGACTTGGACGATGCAGTGTACAAGGCATTCGAGTACAAGCACCTGGGTTCCTTGGCATATATTGGCAACGCCGCAATTTTCGATTACAACGGCTACGGGTTGAGTGGAGGCCTCTTGGCTGTTTACCTGTGGAGAGGAGTATACTTTGCCCAGAGTGTCAGTCTCCGAACAAGGTTTCTGCTTGCCATGGACTGGACCAAGAGAGCACTTTTCGGACGAGGTGAGTACAGTGTTGTTTGTTTGTAAGAAGGACTGTGGACTAACGAGTGCTAGATTTGATGAACTTTTAAGCCATGTACGCATTGTTCGTCGTCTTTGCGAGTCAAGATCAGCGATAGATAGACGGTATCGGGTCAGTGCATCAATCTTTCTTGTATCAAACTTTTTCAAGAAGCCAACACTGGATGCTGGTCGGTAATATTTTGGACGAATATTGGAATTATCATCATTATGGTTCACTTTCCCTTCTCCCGATGGTCATATCTCTGCTTTGACTTGGCCAGATCTTTGGGGTAGGCTGCCATCTCTGTAGTGCCTCTCACACTGTGTCACTACCTGTTTTTCATCTTGCCTTTCTCTCCTGATGAACTCTTGTCTCCCGTATCTTCATCACTATCAGCCCCTCATCCAAGCGGTACCTTGGTGTCGTTTGTGCTTTGGTTTCGGAACCTGACCGCATCCTTTTTCACCCTGCGCCGCAACATGCAGACGTCTGCAGATCGCGGCAAACGTACATGCCCCGACGAAATCACATCCATCAATCACCCCGTACGATCAAAAGCATAGAAAACATGCCTCTCGGGACAATGACCCATACGCCAATCCAGCAGCACTTTACCACATCCTTGCAGCACGGTCCATTCAGCTTCAATAACCCCCCTCAACTCATCAACAACATCACACATTCTAACCCCACTTTCCCGTTCAACTCTAACACATTTTCTCAACCACTCCTTGTCATCCTGTGTCGTGCGTACATTCATATACTCCTCATTCCACTCCGCTCCATCCAAACACCTCACCTCCACATACTTCGTCACTGGCTGCGTCAAGTACTTCATCCCTTCCTCTTCACTATCTCCTATCTCAAGCATCCGTTCAAACTCTTCTAGCTTCATCTCTGTCCCAATGGAAATACCCATCTGCCCCCTTGCTACATCTTCTATCCCACCCGTCAAATCATACGCATGCGCCGCTATCAAAGGATGCATATACGGTCCCAACGCTTCCTGCAGCTCATCTGTCACCGCAAACCGCCAGTTCAGGTATTCAGTCTCGACCTCTGGCTGGGCGATCCAATCGATGAGCTCTTTTGGCCGGAGATTGAGTGAACGGGCTAGGCTGCGTATGGGATCTGGTAGGACAAGCGTGGGTTTTTGGAGGAGAGGAGAGGAGGGTGTGTCGGGTAGTGGACGCATTCGAGCGGGTAGGTTTGCGACGAGGATGCGGCGCCAGCCGGATGAGACGGCATGGCAGGTTAGGAGGTCCCGGGTGGGAAGGTAAGAGATTATGGAGAGGAGGACTTCAGGGAGGGTGAGGGCGCGGTGCATTTTTTGCTAAAATGCTTCCCTAATATCTCAAACAAAAGATATACGCTGCTGGGGAAAAGCACGATTTATAGTTTATAGGACGGGGAACAGGCATGTAAGTAAGATGCTACATGTACCCCAACACTCAATCATCCTTGGCAGATTCGCAAATAAGGTAAGGATGCGGCATCTTATCTATTTGGCTTGCTTCTCATTTATACTTTCTATTCAGGCACCCAGTTTCCTCCACTCTCATTGGTACGATGCTATACATGTAGGCTTGCTGATGTCAGATACGTGCCTCCGCAATGGGGCGGTAACGCCATTTAGCTTGGCGAGCACGTCAGGATGGGGTCGGGAATGTGATTGGGGAGTTGGGAATTATTCGGATAAGGCTGAAGTGGCGGAGAAGGTGATAGTGTACATGAGTGTGGGGTTCTCTAGTTTAGATAGCAATGTTGAGTATAGTAAAGTCCATGTGGGGAGTAGTAGGGTCGATGAAGTGTAACCCTTGTTGCGGGGTCAGCAACCGAGCTGAGTGAAGAGTATCGTACTAGCATCGCGATGGAATGTACTTAAGTTTAGTCTTATTGATTAAATGCAAACTAACTAATTAGCCTCACATCCCAAGCATGTGAGAACAAAAACTAGTAGCTCGTCGTACAAATCGCATCTCATATAACCCCAACTTTCTTGGCTTGTACGCGGTACTCGAGCCAAGCCACAACCCCCAACTTATATAAAGATCTTATAATAAAATCCTACAAAATCAATCAACCAATCAAACACACTGGTACATCGCCGGCTACACTTTATACACCCCTCAAATTCCAAAATCCCCCCATATCAAAAATCTACGCCGTAACCCCCATTAACCCAACCACACCCCCCGCCCCAATCGCCACAGCCCTCAACGCATTCAACCTCGTAAACTTCTCCAGCAGCGCCCTCACCTCCTCATCTTCCTTCTGACTACTCTCCCTCCCCGTCTTCTCCTGCGGCGGACTCAAATCCTTCCACTGACTAACATCCTCCTCCCCCTCCACCGACTCATCCGCACTCCTCGCCTCTACCCCTCTCTCCCTCCTCCACTCCGCCGACTTCTCACTCCGCGTTCCCCCTAGTTCCTCATTCATCTTGATTAACGTGAAATTCGTTGGTATCATCAGTAAACTCGTGATTGGCGCAATGCTAATACAGAGTGCTGATGCGGCGAGGAAATAGGCTGGTCGGCCGTGGGTTGCGGCGCTGAAGAGGGTTTGCAGGGAGGAGGTTGAGGAGGAAGGCAGGGAGAGGTAGGTTAGGAGGAGGAAGCTGGTGCTGGAGAGGATGCCGGCGGTGGGGAAGATGTGGGAGCCGCGTGAGAAGAGCCAGCGGACCATGGGGAGGGAGCGCGATGCGGGTTGGGATTTTAGCATGGGGATGGAGAAGAGGGAGAAGGCGGATATACCGCCTGAGGCGATGAGGGCGGTGGATATGCTGAGGATTTGGATGGCTTGTTCCGCTGACATTTTGTTTGGTCGGATTTTCCTTTTTCGCTGTGATTTTCTGGAAAAGTATAAAAGGTTGGTTTTGTTTCTATGGAAGACTTGAAGAGCTTAGAAATTTTGTCTGTTTCTATTTGGATTCTAACTGAGAGTTACTGATATATGAGTAACTGCTGCTGGATTGAGACATCCAACGCGCGTTCCACGGGTCCCGATGGTGTTGAAGAATGATGTCATGGTGAGCTAGTGGGTCCCTCTGATAACCTGTCGCAGTGCTCACAACCACCAATTGTGGAACGCCTTGAGCTGATATGCACCGTCAACACTCGATGCACATGCTGAATCAACATGTTGGATAGTGATATTCACTGACGTAGAATTTGTCGCATGTACGATCCATCTACTCAGTTCGCTTGCGTACCCTGGGCAGCGCAAACCAACAAGCCAACATGGCTCCATACATACCGAGACATACCGGATTCAGAACCCAAGTTCCTGACGCTTGCGCAAGGATACCAGTCGTGAAGGGAGCGACGGCGCCACCAGAGCTGCCTGCTCCAGCGATGAAGCCAATGGCAGTAGTCTGGATATTCCGGGGCATCAGACGCGAGAAGATGGTTGAAGCACAAGGATAGATCGGACCAAGCAATAGACCCAAAAGACATACGGCGACCGCGTTACCGATCAAGTTTGGTGTCAGCCAGGCCAAAAGCTGAAGGCCAACCGTGCCGAGTGTCAGGATGACGACAAATTTCTTTTCGCCAATCCTTGGGGCTGCATGCGTCAAGACGAAGCGTCCAATTGTGATGCCGCCCTGGAAACATTGTCAGTATACTATATATCGCGATGAAATGACAAAGAAACGCACCCAGAATCCAGCCGTCACGTAACCAACTGTGCGAGGGTCGCCGTTTCGATAATTAATCAGATACGAGATGAACCAGCCCGAGATACTGACTTCGGCACCTTGGTACGCGAAGATGAACAAGGCTCCGAAGAATGTGACTTTGTTCTTCAAGGCGTGCTTGAGGTTTTTCAGCTTCGACGCTGCTTCCTCTGTGGCTGTCTGTTGGGTAATAGTGGTTTCCAGAAGATTATCCTCGGTGTCCTCTTTGAAGGACCAGAAAGCCCAGGCGGCGAAGACTATGCAACAGATTCTTATGCCGACAGCGATGAAGTAGAAGCGGGACCAAAGGATGCCACTCGAGGCCATGGCTGTTCCGACGATGGGCGCAATAATGCCACCTACGCCATAACTGCCGTGTGCCATGCCTAAAATGACGCTTGGAGGATGCGTGTGTGAGCAATAGACATTGTTCAGTGCTAGGTTGATAGCGGCACCGAATCCCAACATGAAGAAGCTTTCCTCGTTAGTTTGTTGCCAGTAATTTGGGGTTGAGTACTTACGATAGTACCACAAACGGGTAAGGAGGTGTGCAGACCAATACGATGTAAGCTGAGAGTTGTATCATCTCTGAGATAACTAGTGTTTTTGCTCTACCAAACTTCCCCAGGACCGAGTTGGTGAAGAAAGCAGCGATGATGAAACCAGCCGCAGTGCCGACGAAGACTAGAGACATGATTGTGTACGAGATGTGGTAGTGTTTTTCCATATAGGGAATAAGTGCACCAACGACTGGTAATTGTTAGGACCGGGTCATAGAAAGCGCTGTTGAACAGCGATTGGTAGGTCTGCAGTAGTTCTCCTACATACCTGCATCGTTCATTCCATTGGAAAAGTAGATCAAGCAGCAGCACAAGATCCTCCATTTGGTCATGGGGTCAGCGTTCCAAGTCCGCTCACGAGCGAACCCATCATCATGGGTCGGTGTTGCAGGCCGGCTATTCTCGAGCTCAGTAAGTGTCTTTGGAGTCACGGCCCCATTCTGCGTTGATTGCTTCGAGGCAGACTGCTGGCGGTTATTGCCATCTTTTTTCACGGCAAAGTCATGAAGCTCAACATCCGGTAAAACACCGATATGATGCGGTGCCTTGTTCGTACCCTTCTGATAAGCAGGTTCCGGATTTGCGATTTGGGAACCAGGTTGGATATCAAAGAGGCTGTGAAATGATGCCGACATCTTGACGAGTCCTCTGCGTGTTTGGAAAGCCACACAACGGCTGTTGAAGAGGAAAGCAAAGCACTTGAGACTGTAGCCAATCACAGTAGCACCGGTCTCGGTCGAAAAGACTGGACGCGAGATAAGGGAAACGGGATGAGGAATTACAAACGTCCTTATAACTCAATTGTACCCCGAGATCAGCGGAGTCATATCATAGTAGTCTGGCGGGAGCGCCCCCAATGTGGGGAATGTCGAAAAATGCTCAAAGCGGAAGTGTACGAAGAGGCACTCAACAACGTGCTAAGGTCCTAAAAAGTCACTAACGCCATTGCTGATAAATCCTGCGAAGATTAACCTATGCCGAGTGCAAGCATGAACAAGAGCCAGGCTACGGCTAAAACACCTATCAAATACTACAGCGTAATCATTTCGTACTTGCACTGCAGTGCGAATGTCCAACCACGTACGTCAACGTCGCCTTGAACGGTCAGCAGAGTCACATGCCGTTTCACCGCTGGTGTAGAGATTGGAGATCCCTTTCGAATCGAGCGACGTATCCGCAGTTTGGAGGTTCCGGAATGTTAAAAAATGTAGAAAAGATCTGGACCGAGGCATGCATAAAAACGGCAGCGATACCTAAACGGTGATCAAAGTGCGAGATTTAGGGTAATGCAGGCGGGCGGTGGGTTGCAGGTGGATGGGTGGAGTGGGGGTTGGGGCGGATCGGCCAAAATTTCCTTTTTTGCGAACTTTGGGCGACCCCTCCATTGGAGAAACAACAACGGAAGAGATTCTGACGTATGGGTCTTTGGTTTTTCCACACATCGCACTTTTCTGTACACAATCGATATAGTTGTTTCTGAACAGGATGCCGCCACCAAAGCGCAAGGTTCTCGCTACGATAGACAGCACCATCACGCCGCCTGACGAGCTCCCTCCCAATCACTTCATCGCGCGCATCACCAAGGCCGAGGGAAAGAATCTCTACTCTGCAGAGCTTCCAGATGGGAAGCCTGTTCTCGCGGAGCTCGAGCCCAAGTTCCGGTCAACGGTATGGATAAAGCGGGGTAGCTACGTAGTGGTGGACACATCTGCGCTGGCGGATAGGGATAATAAGCTGGATGGGGAGATTGTCAATATAGTCAGAGACGAGAAGGCGTGGAGGAAGATGAGCTACTGGTATGAACATGGGTATCATAGGTTGCTATGTGTACAGGATGCTGACATGATGTTACAGGCCCAAGGAATTCGCCAAGAAATCCACTTACGTCGAGGACAGCGACGAGGAAGAATCTACCGTTGGCAAGATGCCGCCTACAGACTCGGATGAGGAGTGAGTTTTCTCCTGAAAACTGCTTCACTCCTTGTGTGGGTGGTCCTCTTCGATGATGCCCTTTGTAACGCCCTCGTACTCCTTCCTTGTCCCCCACCATACACCCGCGACCGTGACCGCCAAAACTCCTACTACTGTCGCCGAACTTGCCGGAGTACTCGGATATACATTCCACGCCCACTCTTGCGCGCCCCATAGCGCATATACAACAACTGGATTGAACCCTGCTTTCCAAAGCAAGAAAGGCGTCGACCATGCAATATACGCATAGAACTGGTAATGCAGGCTTCTTGCGCAAAGGAGACCAATCGTCATTGCAGTCAACATACCCGTCATGATGAAGTCTGGCGTGATTTTGCTGGACATGATGTCCTGGTCTCTAGGCTCAAGGACGGGAAGGCAGAGCTTGAGAAATTCCCGGACATTGCGTTTGGATGGTTTCATCCAGCGGGTTCGTGCAAACCAGAGCAGAAGAACGACGTGCAGGCCAAGCAGGCTGAGGGCGAAAGGTCGGGATAGGAAAGTAGACTCCGAGACAAAACGCCAGTTTACGGTCCATTTGTAGAAAAAGGCCCGGCTGAGTTCAAAGGCGCGAGCAAAGTAGCTGGGTGCGCGTTTTCTGAAAGGGTAGCCCCATAGAACCTTTTGAATAATTAGTATTGAAATAATTCGCGCTATGCGTATTTGGTGAAGGGAAATTACACGTACCGAGATCTGTCCAATAATCATAGCCTGGGTCAACGCCTCCCTTCCACCCAGCTTCATCACCATCAACATGCCCATTGCCGGCAATGGTAGAAGCAGACTCATCTTGACATTCAGCCCCGTGCTATACAACGCGCTTCCCAAATGCCACTGGTCGCGCTGATAGCAGTAAACAGCCAACCAAAAGAACAACGCAGCAAAGCAATCATTGAAGCACCGCAGCATGAAAATGCTATGCAGCCGCTTCGACAAGACGAGTAGCGGAAAGATATACGGGGGTACCTATATCACCATCAGCACTAAAATTCCAGCCTCCAAACACCCCTCCTAAATAGAGGATATCAGTCAATAAATAAAAAAGAAAGGTAAAACTCACTCTGGCCTTTCGATAACACTGCATCACAAGCGCAAGCGTCATCAAATACACCACGGCAAAAATATACTGCGCAAGCGCAATATTCCGCCCCTCATCTGTCCACTTGTACAGGTGCTTGTAGATCCATACATGCGCCCCGGGATACACCAGTGGGCCCGTAGATCCGGAGATGAGCTTGTAGTCGCGCTCGCCTTTGAGGTAGATGGCGATTTGCTGCATGTAGGTTGACCAGTCTATTTCTGTGTCTAATCATTTTGAAAATCAGTTTTTGCTTGACAGGGACAAAACCGAAAACGGTTAGATGTGGTTATATAGATTTTTTTTCGGGGGATGGGAATAAGGAATGTCGAGGCCACGTGGTAAACGGGGGTTAACGAACACGGTATTTTCTCGATTATCACGCCGCTGAGGGCTGCGTCGGCGACGAGGAGGAGAGGTGTTATCCATCGAGTGTGGTCTGGATTCAGCGCCAGATCTTTGGCGCGGGCAAAAAGCGACATTTTGTGTTGGTGTATATCTTTTTTTTATTTTTTGGGGATGGTAAGAGGGGCAGGGGTGAGGGATTGGTGTTATAGGAACGCGTCGCGTGTGTCACGTGGATACGAGGGACTCTTTTGAAGTTTCAAGCGTGCATCTTTCGGCGCGACATGTGTTTCACGTGGGAATATTGTCGTGCGACTTCGTCCGATGGTCCGATGTTGAGACTTGTGTGGGGGAATGCAAGTAGGGCTGTTTTGGGGCTCATGGTCGGTTGGACCTGCATGGTCTGGTACGTAAGTATCCAGATTAGAGTGGGATTGACTTGCATGCAGACTGTCCACCTTTTCTTCATGCTTCTTTCAACAACGGCGCAACCATAATAGTATCCAGAGAATAGCACATGTTTCATTCACGAATATAGTTTCGTTGGTTCGACGGGTTGAATGCTTAAATTAGGTACGCTAATTATATATTATACTAGTTGGCAATCCCATCTCCACCATTAATCACCCTATGCACGTCGTCTTGCATCAATTACCCCTTCAAATGTCATCCTACGATAGTCCAGCTTAGTTGCTAGGGTGCTCAAGAAGCGTGATGCAGCGATCCTGGAAAGTCTCGCAGACTTGGTCGTTGGCGCCCGCGCCGCCCGCACGGCAGACGATAGGGAGAGAAACAGTGCCCATAATCGGGTTGCTGTAACAAAGGAGTAATTATTAGTATACCTTGAAATCCACAAAACTGCATTTCTAGATGGGAATTTAGTTGAGATTGAACTTACTCGGTGCCGTACTTGAAAATCAAGCCGTTATATTCATTGACGAACGCAAACTGGAAGCCATCGCCGCACGAATAGAAGACGCTGTCCTCCATGCGGTCGGCACTGGCGGAACAGGTCCATTCAAAAGAAGATCCCGGGTTGGTGGACGCAATATGGAAAGAAATCATGTTGTAGTAGGTAGCTTCGGGCTTGCGGCCGACAAATTGGCTGACCCTCCAGGTGTAGTCGCCCGCTGTGTGGTATTCACAGGCGTCCTGACGAGGACGGAGGGAAGCAGCGCTGGTAAGGCCGCTAGCGGCGAAGAGGAGGGAGGTAATGGTAGTGAACTGCATTTTGATAGCTGAGAGAGCGGTTATTGAAAAGTTGTTGATGGATTGGTGAAGAGAGAAGTTGTTGCTTGATGAGTGAGTAGAAACGAAGGCGAACACCACCAGTTTATATACACATTTTCTCTCATGGTTCCAGAGCAAGTATGCACGCAGAAATGGAGCCAGCTGGACTTCGGCAATGGTGCAACCCACTTACATTGATGCAATGTAGGTAAGTCAGGAAAGGTTCATGTCCACCATTACGTCTGCGTTCCTGGAAAACAGAGTGGGAAAAACAACATATACCGTGCATAGTTCCCCATAAAAGCGATCCCTGCCTAAGTTGACCTGGAGAAATACATTGAAGCGGAGAAAGTAAAAGAAATATGCTTCCTCGCTCATCCGGCAAAAGAAAGGTGAACCAATCCATATCACGTGAATTTCTCAACACTAGCTTTCTGAAAGTTGGTTCATGACTAATGCATGCATTCGGCCTCGAACAGTGGTTACAAGTAATTGAAAATGATCTTCGAGTAATATATGCCGTGGTTACCATCTGCAGGGGACTTGAGTGAATCAAGGCTTTTGGAAATGTCACTGAGATGCCTTCTTTGTCATCCAGTAGTCGTCTCCATCATATTTAACAAGGATCATTATTATTCATCTTGCTCTTGTGCGGCTACATCATATCGTATGATGCATACCTGTCACTCGTGGGAATAGGTTCCTGCGCAATTTCCCCGCAAGGTATGTACTCTGATGCTGGAGCCATGAACATACGTGCATACATTAGCTGTACGCTCAAGCGACCAAGAGTAGTCTAAGATCGAGGTTGCATCCAGCGGGGTAATACGTTACAATGTCGATCTTTCACCTTCTATGGGCAATGGGTTGTTCCCATTAACTATTGATTCCAGTCGCCCATCTGAGTACAAACTTTAACCACTCTTCACATGCTTACTGCAGCTTCTGTTGAACAACCAGCATGAACGAGACCGGTTTGACAGGCCGGGGATGAACAAATCTAATGTATTGGGGTATAGCTAGTTCAAAGAACAAAGTATCAACAAAAAAAGAGGCTATAGCAAAATTGCAGAACCGCTGGAGAAGAGCAAAACAAGAAAGCCAGCAATCCTTCACCAGTTCCAGGTACGACTAGCTGCTGAAAACACAGGTGGCTTCCAAATCAAACGATCGGGGTCAATACTTCTCTTACCCTTCAACTTTTCTTTTGCCTTCTGTCGCTCTCGTTGAGCAATAACTGCATCTGTGAGTACGATGACGTGTTGGTTCTTGCTGTATCGCAGCATGTTTAGGTTTTGTAGAGTGTGCAGTACGTCGTTTGTTGTCATCGCCGTCGCGGCCCCCAAGTCTTCGATATTGGCTTCGGAACGGCCGGGCTCCATAAGGATATCGACCAGGATCTCTTGCCAGTATGCACGGTATCCGAGAAGACCCAAATCAGACAAGGGCTTTTCCGGCGATCCCAGCTTGCCCTCGCGTTTGGAAAGGAGGTAAGAGAAGTCAATAAGCAGCTTACCAAATCCCTTTCTCTGATACTGAGGCAATGTTAGGATACAGGCTACGTTGTAGCCTTCGGCTGACTCTTTCTCTTTGGAGAAATAGCCAACAAAGTGGCAACCGTGCTCATCGCGCGTACACATGCAATAGAATAGAAAAGGGTCAACGTCATAGTAGAGTGTCTTGTGGTCCAGGAAGAGCTTTGAGAGCAAGCAGAGGTTGCGACACCACGTTCGTTGTCGCCGCCCGTCGATCTCAAAGAAGGACACATAGTCGTCGCGGTAGATTTCGTTGCCAGGTGGATGGAGAAGGTGGCACTTTGTGCGATGGCGCTCAAACTGCGTTACTTCACCAAAGTACGATAGGCAGAACTCGCAGATGTAGACGACATCTGAGTCTACAAAGTCGATGGGATACGGTGAGAAATACCAGGGTTCGACCTCGTATTTGCCCATCTGAATCTTCTCCAAATTTCGCACGCGTGAGATCTCGGTTTGGTTCTGTGTCATGGACCCAGATGTTCGCAGTTTTTCAATCTCGTCTTCTCGCGAAAAGTCCTGAGGAGGCATAGCTTTGGCAGCTGCAGCAGCGTCCTGCACGTCGACGAGGTCCATCTCCTCATCCTCGGCCTTGGGAGTGCCATCTGTGACTTCACTGGTGACTAAGACTTCCTGGTTTTCCTTGCCGCCGGCTTTGGATGGCCTTGGTGCTTTGCCTGGCAAGTTGCTCGACGTTGACTCTGGTGTGCCTGAGATTTCGCGATCAAGCTTGCTACGTGAGCGCTTCAAGTTCTTTTGGTCAGATTTTGAGGGCGCCTTTTCGTTCTTAGAGGCAGTGCCCTTCTTTTTGTCTGCTTTCTCAGGGGCAGGCCATTCAACTTCTCGAGATAGGTCGATGCGCTCGGCCTCGATCCACTCATCGAGACGTTTGTTGAACTCTTCATAATGCACATAGAACTTTGGTCGGCCCTGCCGTGTCTGTATTGACAGTATCTCAGCTTTGCGTTTCTCGCCATCCTGTGGGGTGTTAGTTGGTGATCATTTGGCTGTCTCAGTATTGGCGATCCAGGATTCGCGTCGCGCAAGGCGTCGCTGCGCGCTATCCACGTACCTTTTCGACCCACGCCTTTACGCCTACTCTGCACGCAACGCATCAGCATTCATCTTCAAAGTTTGCGCATGGTTTGATACGTACCTCAGCTGCGCAAGAGTGGCAAATCCCGTTTCCACCGGTGCTGGAGTACCTGACGGCTCGTGAGAATTTTCTCGGGGCGCCATGGTGATGCGCTATCTTTTGCTCGATTTTTAAAAGATTGCAGTTCGTGTTGTGAGGACTAATGTCGCGATGAAGTTGGCGATGCCGTAGGTCTTTGTCGCAGTGTTGCCGCCTGGTCGTCGGCGCTTGGGCTTGAGCTTCCGCCGACATCTGGAAGGTGCTAGCGTGGGTCTGAACTTTTGCAGCGCAGAAAGTTACTCGGCCAAGATTCTCGACATCCACTGCCAGGTTACTATACGCACATCGCGATGCCTTGCAGGTGACTCCAGAATGGCTCCAATCGATTTGAGTAGCCTCTCCAGCAACTGGAAAATCCTACAGCAACGGCTCAAGCCTTCTACACCAGCAGCGTCCAAGGACAAGAAGCCGGACAGCGAAACGCAGGCCTCGCTCAAGCGCAAGAGATCTCAGCATGCCAATGGGAAGCAAGAACATGGCTCTGCAAAGCCTTTGAATGGTTCAGAGAAAAACACACCACGAAAGTCTCTCCCCTCGAGAAAGCGACAAAAGATGGAGGAGCCTGCCTCTGTCGGTGCCTCAGTCAAGCGACATGAGACGAAATCACTCTCCAAGAGCACGTCGATGCCCTCGCTCAAGAAGACCCCTCTTCTTAGCGATGCCAAGGATGCCGAAGCCGCGGTCTCGATCCTCGAACCCCATCCCGATTTCCCCGATGTCGAGAACGAAGGCGTGTCAGAGGTAGCGCTACCCGGCAAATACGTAGCATTGGATTGTGAAATGGTTGGAGTAGGACCAGAGCCCAATCGCGACTCGGCGCTTGCGCGAGTGTCTCTGGTCAATTATCACGGTCATCAGATCTACGATTCCTACGTACAGGTACCGCGGCACATTGAGATCACAGACTACCGAACTGCCGTCTCTGGAATTGAGCCCAAGCACATGCGAAAAGATGTCGCCCGGCCCTTTGACGAAGTACGGAACGACCTCAAGATACTGCTCCAAGGGCGCATCCTAGTTGGACACGCCGTGAAAAACGATCTCGACGTGCTCATCCTGAAGCATGACAAGCGCCTCATTCGCGATACGTCCAAGTTTTCGAAGTTTAGGGAGTTGGCATCAATACCGGGGCGCACACCAGGGCTGAAGCTGCTAGCAGAGAAGTTGCTCGGTGTGGAGATACAAGTTGGTGCCCATAGTTCCGTTGAGGATGCTAGAGCGACCATGGCGCTGTTCCGGCTGGAGAAGGACAACTTTGAGCAGGAGATGCGGCAAAAGTATGGAAATGTCCGTCTCGGTGCTTCGGCAGGCGAGGCCGACGCCGGTGGTGATGATGAGGTCAAGAAGAAGAGCAAAAACAAGAAGAAGAAAAAGAAGAAGAAGCACTAGTCGCTTCCGCTGAGATGTAAACATCTCGGATCTTGTGTTTCATCTTATGCATCTACCTGGAGTTTTGCATGGTACGGATACCCTGAAAAGTCAACGTATATTGTGGTTACTTGCGTCTTCTATCGTCCATATTAAAACACTGCTCTTTCCTATTGATATGGCTACAATGATTTCTCAATGAATTTTAGTGAATGAGCACGTTCTTGTTGTTGAAGAAGAACATCTAAGGTCGAGTCTGGATATGGTGATGCGTATGTTACAAGTGTCGTACGAGGTTGTTGTACTTTAGGAGCGGGGTATCATGCATCTTCTTGTTCGAGTGATATTGTGCATTTTTCGGCCAATACCCGTCTACGGATTGCCACTGGCTCCATTTGCTTACATGTTCGTTTTACATAGACTTCAACAAGCTTCTGAAAAGCGCAATTTTGCACAGCTTTCAAACGGTACACGTACGAGGCTTGACGCTCCCGCCCGGTAGTTGACGGAGATAAGCATCGTGGCTCCATTCCCCCCACCGGCCTTAACGCCATAGAATCATGATCGTCCTCGACGACTCTCGGTAGTTTGGCCTTTGTTTGCAACGGACTTTGAGCCGGATATAGGCACTCAGTAATATGTTCGGCTTTTCTACGTCATGCAGGTTCGAAGGCGCCGTTGTTATATAAAGAGGGGCTGATGTCCGCAACGATGGGTTTTGCAATAATCAGTTCAACACAATCCCCCTTTCTGATCTCCGCAAAACTTTACCACATCAATCTCATTATACATCAATTATCCAAGATGCCTTCTCCATTCGGTGATATGCCAAAGGCTGCGTCCCTTCTGGAATTCCACCGCGTCATGTCGCCCACAGCCGGTGTTCGTGTCTCCCCGCTTTGCCTGGGAGCTATGAACTTTGGTGACGCTTGGCAAGACTTCATGGGCAAGTGCGACAAGAAGACTACATTTGAGATTTTGGATTACTTTTACCAACAAGGAGGTAATTTTATTGACACGTCAGTCGACCTTTTGATCTAGCCGGCATCATCCGAGACAATGTGATTGGACTGGACAGCTCAGCACTTTGAATGCTGAATTATGGGGCTAACATTGATCCAGTGCAAACAATTACCAGGCTGAGGAGTCTGAGACATGGATTGGCGAGTGGATGAAGGAGCGTAAAGTACGAGATCAGATGATCTTGGCTACAAAATTCACTACTTGCTTTCCTGACCCGAACAACGCGCCACGCCTAAAGATCAACTATGGAGGAAACAGGTACGTGCTAGTGGGGAGATTCATATGAAAATGTATGCTGACTTGATTCACAGCACCAAATCTCTTCGCGTATCACTAGAAGCATCATTGAAGAAGCTCCAGACTGACTACATTGACTTGTTGTACGTGCACTGGTGGGACTTCACCACGAGCATCCCAGAGCTCATGCAGTCCCTCAACGCTGTAGTGAACAGCGGAAAGGTGTTGTACCTTGGAGTCAGTGACACGCCTGCATGGGTTGTCAGCAAGGCGAATGAATGTCAGTAACCGTCATCAATCCCAACCACGTGTTTCGACTTTACTAACTTCGCTACAGATGCCCGGAACCATGGTCTGCGTGGATTCAGTGTTTACCAAGGCCGCTGGTCTGCTGCTGAGCGAGACTTTGAGCGCGAGATTATTCCCATGGCCCGCGAAGAGGGCATGGCACTGTGCCCATGGGGCGCCCTGGGTGGCGGAAACTTTACCACTGAAGAAAAGCGCAAAAACAACGAGCAAGGCCGCAACTTTGGCCCCGCTTCCGAAAAGCACATCGCCATCTCCAAGAAGCTCGAAGCAGTCGCAGCACAGAAGAACACCCAGATCACCAGTATTGCACTTGCTTATGTCCGACACAAGTACCCCTATGTCTACCCGATTGTTGGCGGTCGCAAGATTGACCACCTCAAGGGCAACATTGAGGCGCTGGGAATCGAGCTAACTGAAGAGGAGATTGACGATATTGATTCGGCTGTTCCATTCGACATCGGGTTCCCCATGAACTTCTTGTTTGAAATCGGAGGCAACAAGTACAGGCACACCCTGACCAGTTCGGATGTTGGGCTCACAAAGTTTGCGGGTATATTGGAGAGCGTGCCTATCCAACAGGGACCAAAGCCGCACCAGCTACAGGGATACGGAGGTAACTAAGTGGTGGCGAGTAGCCATGTAACCGAGCCAGTCATAGAAGCTGTTGATATAACCGGAAAATAAATTTTACATGCCTTACACAACTCGTTAATGTGAGCATCGTAAACATAGTAGTACGCACGATCTATCTAACTAACTAATGAGAATTTTCAAAACCGCTTCACTCACACACTACATACATTCCTAATCCGCTCGTGACCCAGCACATCCTCACATTATCCCACGTCTCACCAAAGAAAAAATGTCCCTCAAATACATTCCATTGACGGACTTCCGGCTACCAGACTACCCAGATGCACCTTTAACTGTCGATAACGCGCCCCTCAGCATTGTCGACACAGAATCTCTAGCGTCAGAAGCCACCAACAAGAACATCACCATTCCCCCAGCAACAGGCATAGCAACGCTCCTCTACAACTGGCACCCCAACGCCCTCGCCGCGTTCCTCGATCTCGACGCCTGGTTCTCATTTACATGGACCGTCTCCATCGAACCCGACACGCCATCGGGCTGCAAGATAGAAATCGGGCGTATCGGCAACCAAATCACATTCGGCCAACTCGACGCAAGCGGCGAGAACTGGACCATAATGTTAACCTACAACGTTGTTTTGGACGATGCCACCGAAACCCCCGAATCTCCCGCTGAAAGCCAAGAAAAACCCGAAGAAGAACAAAAAGCCAACGAAACAACAGCCGAAGAAACCGTGGAACAAGATGGTAGTACCGAAGAAAAGCAAAAGTGGAAAAAAGGAACCTGGATCGCCAACCCAAAAGAATCCATGCTCGGCCCCCGCGATATTACTTCTGCGGCTCTAATCCCGCGCCTCGCTTCCACCCTCCTAACCCGCCTCCTCACCACGCGCCGCTGGGAAACCGGTAAGCGCATAAAACACAACCTGTCCATTGAATACGCACCCATGGATATCTGGGGCGACGGCATACCCATGTCGCCGCACTGGCTCTACAAACCTCTCGATTTAAGCAGTTGTACTACGTGCGGTGCTACCGCAACACAAGACAAGGCGTTGCAGCGTTGCGGCAAATGCGGCACAGCGACGTATTGCTCGGATGCGTGTCAGAAGCGGGATTGGAAGGTGCATAAGGGCGTTTGTACGATGGGGTTGGAGGACCGGGGGCAGGCGATTAGGTTGGTGGAGAAAGGGGGGCTGATTGCGTGGGATGAGGAGAGGATGTTTGCGAGGGAGGGGAGTGGGGAGATGAGTCGGAATCCGTATTTTGAGGCGAGGGTGAGGAAGAGGGTTAGGTATGTGTGAAGGAAGTTTGAAGATGTGTGGATAGTTGGGGGAGTAGGGAAGGGGGGTAAATGCTTCTCTCTTTTTTTAATAGATGTGACTGAGATGTGTATTCTGTGTTGTTTTTATCATATCCCACTTTTTCCAATTGATCGAGGAGATGAATCATATGCAGATGCCTTTTTTTTCTGTGTGAAGATCCAGTCTTTCAAGATGGTGGAGAAGAAAAAGTAATGAATAAGGAATACACCTCAATAATGCATTTTCCTCAGGCCCCTTGACACCACATTTCACACACACTTCTCATTGGTAAAAAATCCCACAAAGATTCCTGATGGCCATGTTCGTCCACCCAGTTATCGTTATCATTTGGTATAGCGTATCCAGCAACATAAGGCATTCGTAGAAAGTATTTCTCCCCTGAGAGTTTCATAATAATCATCTAAACATATCAATCGTTTTCCAATTCCTCCAACTCTTTTTGCCGTCTCTCCAATTCTAGTCTCATAGCTTCTGCTTCCCGCTTAAGTCTCTCCCTTTTTGCTGCTTTTTCTTCCTGGGACAAGGTGGAATTGGGGGATGTTCCTCCACTCGTGCGGAGCGGGACGGAGAGCGACGGGTCAATGTTGACGTCGACGTCTGTCTGAGATGGGTTCAAAATAGATGATATTGCGTTTGGACGGTGAGGCAGTGGATTTACTGGCTCTTCAGGATCCAAAGTCGCGCTGCGACTTCGTTTTCTGGGCGATGGTGCGCTGGGCTGCATGCTTGGCGTAAGGGCCACTGAATTCGAAGTTACTGATGAATTGCTGTAGTAATGCGTAAAGTCGACTGCGATTGGGCCCCTGGGTGGCTCGGGTGTGTAGTCTTCTCGAGACTCGAGTGCAGTTGATGGATCTGGGGAAACCGAGTGCTCGAATGCAGGGGTTTGAGAAGGTCTCTGTGGAGGCGAGTAGTTTGCGACTGATGAAGCGGCTTGTGAACCTGTGTCGGCGGCTGGTACGATACGCTTGCGACGCTTGATCTCCTGCTTCTTCATCGCAACAGGGCGGTGGGTTCCGTGGAGCTTGTAGTAGAGTCCTGCATGGAGGATTAGTCATCTATCGATACTGCGCATCAATGTTGATATGGCACTACCAACTTACCACAGGCATTGCAGATGATGTGTCCAGCATCATCTCGTCTCCAGAGTGGTGTGATTGTGGTTCCACAGTTCTGGCAAGCTGGGATTGCACTTGTTGACCCAGAGGCAGAAGTCGAAGAAGCGGCATCACTTCCACCCCGATTCTCACCAGGCGCAGCATTGGCTTGGGCTAGTGCAAACTTGGCTGTCTTTGATACCCGATTGTTAAATGCGGGACAGCCACTGCAGCCTTGCTGGCCCCCAGTGCCATTACACCTGCCTCCACCTGGGCATGTCCCGGCCGCCATCTGATCGGCAGCAACATAGGTTGCGACACGCGGGCTACCGGCAACGTTTCCAGCACATGTTCGGCCGCCATCGGTAGATCCTGGAGTTGGGCTTTGCTGTACCGACATACTTGGCTGAGTCTGTGTGTTGCGCTTGAGGTTCACTGGCCGCGACTGATTCCGTGCTTTCATGTACAAGCCACATGCATTGCACACTGTTTCTCCAGCAGGCGACCGGCGCCATAGTGGCGTCTGTGTTGTTTTGCAGTTACTTGTGTTCGTTAGCGACTTCCTTGCGGACCTTTTGCAACATTACGCCCACAGCCAATAGCAGATGACATGAGGCAATTGCAGAAAAAGCAGACAACATACCTGCAAATCTGCCCGGTGATGGATGCATTGGGGGTCTCATAATTCATGTTGGGTATTTGTAGCGATGCTGCCGTTGAAGGGGTTGGGGGACCGTCTGGAATGGGCACAGCATCTTCAAGAGAGTGGTATATCTCAGATCTTTGGTCATCCTGGACACTGGTATGCTGCTGCTGCTGTTGTTGTTGTTGTTGCTGCTGCTCTTGCGAAGTGGCCTCTGGCCTAGGTTTTTGGTGTTCGTGAGCCTGGTTCAGTAAGCGGAGACTCTCGGCCATCTCCAATTCGTCTCTGCTGGTTTCTCTAGATAGCTGGTGCGGATGTGTAGGAGTAGGAGCAAATGAGGTGCCTCCACTTCCCGAGGGATGCGCCATGAGGCGGGAGCCTCGTCTTTACCCGGAATGGGAAGCGTGTGGAGATGGGGGTGTGGTTGGGATGGCAGTGATGTACTGTTGCCTGATTGCACACACAGAATCGTCCGAAGCAGAAGGACGCAAGTAGTCGCTTGGGCCGACAGGTACCGGACTTTGATCTAGCGTGGACGTGATATGCTGGCCAGTGTAGTGGCAGTTGCAGGAGGCGCTAATGTGTATTTGGGTGACTATGCGGGTCTTGGGGGCGTAGGAGTACAACGGTGGTCAGGTGCAGCACAGGGAAGGTCAAGTCAACGGGCAGGCGGGCAGGTTTGAGGGCTGTGCTGTGTGCCTCGCACGGAGATATATTAGGTGGGTTCGGGATCTCCGTCGTGATGATCTAACAGAGCATGGCCACTCGGCCAGGTGCGCTGCTGGTGCGGTACCAGATGGATTTCTCAGGCGGTGAATGGCGGCTGGTGGCCAATCACGCCCTTGCTATTGTAAGCCAATGGCTGGCGCCATGACCCTCTGTGAGCACGTCCACCCTCGCCTTCAACATGGGGGCGGACACGACGGCCAGCGGAGAGCGGTCCAGCCTCGTCATCATGTACCTACACGTGCAGCCGTTTGCATCGGGAGCCAACCACCGCTCGACCACAAGTAGTTGCAGACCGGGCTGCCCAGGCATCCAGGATCCTGAACCATCAGTTGTAGCGGACAGCAACACTCGCCTTCTTCATCAGTCCTGTTCGTCTCCACCCAAGCCTTGCCAAATGGACCAACTGTCAGCGGATCGGCTTCCGGCTCGCCTACGACTAGCGATAGATAACGCGACCTTCTCCACACGCCACCAATGCATGCCAACCGTCCAATCAAGCCAAAGCAATCCCATGCATCTGCTCATGTACCTATACCCTGCTCCCTCCTTGGACAACCGACATACACAGGTATATATACACATATACATGCGACAACATGGCTCCGCCCCATGTGCTGCAGACACCAAGCAAGCGAGCCCTCGCCAAGTACTGTGACCTTGTTTGTTTATCCTACACACTACTTATGCTACACACCCCACCAATCCAAGCAGTGACTTGCTCTCCTTCTCAAGTTGAGACTCCAGAGTAGCCACTCGTCTATTCCAAATCGAGACCTAGATCCCCTTCAACAACTTGTTATAACAGCAGTAATTTCTCTCATTGTTCCCGCCAACCAACCACACACAACCCCTGCTTTGGATGCAGGAAAAGCATGCGACAGCATCTCCGCCTAGGCTGAAGACCTTGCGGGCGATATCTTTACGAGGACTCTTCGAGCGCCATCCTCTTCGTCGTCAATGTCAAGTTTAGACTTGCTCGGCACCCCAGCCGGCATCGGCATCACTAAGTACGGTCAGATATGCAACGAGAAGCGTTTTCAACAATTTTCAGCATACCGCATGTTCGCCGGGGGCTCAATCGAGGGAACAAACTCCAGAGCAGCATAGGCTACACCAATGAAGCCAACAATGGTGCCAGGTATGATGCGGTACCAGCCGTCACCTACGACGACAGAGCCAATAAAGATGTAGAAGATGCCGCGGCCGAGGAACGAGAACATGAACGAGGCATATCGCGCCACTTGTTGGGGGATCTGGAACTCAAGGAGGGCGGTTCCTGCGACCGTGTCAGCAGTCGTCATCACATAGCTCCAGGCACCAACTTACCGAGACCAAAGATTATTAGGTAGACACCGAGGATGATGTGGGAGCTGAAGTACTGTCAGCGCGGGACGAGTGAACCCAGACCCTGCCAATGGCATCTTGGAGACCATCCGAGTGGAATGCACATGGGGCACACTGACAAGTCGTTGAAGGGGAATAGCTTCGCGATACCGCCAAGGACTACAAAGACGGCAACGGCGAAATTCACCATGCGACTGAAGATGCATTAGTCATCATTTCAACAAGACGGAGGCTGGAGCTTCTGGCGCGAGATGCTGCACAGCGCTGCACGGTCGTGTGCAGCTCGCAAAAGCTCCAGGTGTACTCACAAAATGTCGGAGAAGTCCATGGCCGAAGATTGGCTGGCAAGATGAGGGAACCGCACGGTGACTAGCTTTGGCTGGAGCCCGGAGACGACGGCGACAGATGGAAGATGAGATGATCGAATGTGGCTCCGTTAGGCAGCGTGGGGGGAAAGAGACAAGAGGCTGGTGTTGCGCAACCTGGGCTTGCGACGAGACGTTGCGAGGCGAGGGCACGAAGCTGCCGCGCTAAACGTCATACCTGGTCGCCCTCCTCATTGGCTGCTGCGCCATCAAGGGGCTGCCTCTCCACCTTGGCCATGGATTCTTACGTACACTTGAACTGCCTCCTAGCAAGCCGTAAACACTTCTGTGAATATCGCCAACAAGAGAACTTCCACACTAAGTCGGCATACATGCACACATGCACTTCTCCCAATAGCGCTGCCAAGACATCAACTGCCGACTCACTGCCATGTGATCGTCCACACTCAAAAAAAGATCATCTCCGTCACCATCGTCTGTCCATAGTAAGCGACTCGTACGACCCAACAAATGCTCAGTACTTGTGTACATATGTACGAGCTGACACTGTTGATCTCCTACGGTCAACTCAAACTAGCAGTGGGGTATGGTTCCGTAGCAGCGCGAATTCACGTCGACTGCGCACCCACCACTTCACAAAGTCACTGTTGTATCTCATGAACTTTATACCAGAATAGATACATCAACTTCATCCTTTGCAATACATGCTCCTTGGCATCGTTGCCGCTCTTCGCCTACCGTCATGGATCATGGTGCCGACTCTGGCATCCCTGTTCCACTTCCTAGCCTGTTCCTGCTTACCGCCACCGATCATTTTCCTCCCTCAGTCTAAACCACGTCGTTGTTTCTTACCGCCTGTGCTAATTTTCTCGTACAAACCCTGCATGGGCACCGTCCCTCGCCACCGAAATACGGCAGTATGTAACCTCATACCCAACTCGTCGTCACTTTGTCCACGACGTCATCACATTATTATTCCTTTCACAGAATTCTCCCAAGTTCCGTCTCTGTACCCTCACACCCGGCATCTCGCCTCAATGGATAGGTCTTCTGCATTAAATCTGAGCACCTTACTAAGTACATCCTGTGGCCGGAAAAATACCTTCCACTTGCCTTCGATCTGACGTTGAGTACTAATAGTATGATCCTTTTCGGATGTCAGCCGGAGATTTTCGCGGGTGGGCCGGCCGCATCGACCAGAATTGGGACTGCCTTCCATCTTTTCCGTTTACCCTGAACTTCCGATCGTATTTATAGTTTTTTCGCGGGGGCTCCATGGAGAAACGCTCGGCGACATGCCATCACCCTCGTATTTTGTTCCACATGGATGGTGTTCTACAAAGGTATATAAAGTCAAGTGAGCTGGTGCTGTAGCTCTCATCCACCACAACCAACTCACAACACTTTCGCTACAAAACAAAACTCCTTCACAACCACCACACACCAAACAATCACCATGAAGTTCTCTACCTCCGTACTCTTTGCTTCCACCATGGCTCTCGCCAGCGCCTCCTCAATCTTCTCGATCGTCCCTCTGAGCGGTGGCAGCCCTATTCACATGCAAAATATCAGCGTATACGATAACGGACTTGCCATCGGTCCCAAGCAAAACGCCTCTTGCGGTGTTCCCGACATTGGCTTCGCCAGCTTCTTCCTGAGCAACGCCACCAACAACGACGTCAACAGCCTCTACCTCTACACCGACCTCCCTCCCCGCCGGGCCTTTGTCGACCTCTCTGAGTTCGGCAACAGCCGCATCCGTTTCTACAGCGGCGTCGACCCCAAGCCTGACGAGAACTTCAAGCTTGCCCAGTTCCTCGTCAAGGACGACGACTTGTTCATCGTCGACTACTCTCCGGCGGGCGTCCGCGCCCTCGGTTTCCAGGCCTGCCCCCTCCACAACGGCGAGGGCTTCAGCGTCAACGTCGACAACCCAGAGTTCCCGGCCAGCCCCTCGTGCATCAAGTTCAGCGCCAGGATCTCCTACCAGCCTGAGCCCGTCAAGTGCCTCTACAACGACATCCATTTGTAAATACAAGATTATGCAACGCAAACAACAATGATTTAATCACGATGGAATATGGAGGAACACACCTACGATAGTTAAACAAAAATGTTACTGTAATGTCAAGTCAATAAACCACAGTGTTCGCGCACATGCTTTCTTAACCTACACTCCCACTCTGTCGTGATTCCAATACAAACCAATAACAAATGCCTTCAATCTTTCCCTTTCCATCCAATAAACTTTCCCTATCAAGCCACTCCCGCAACACCATTTAAGCATCCCGCATTAACCTTTACTTCATCCGCTATTCTTACCTTTTGCAAATGCCCCCCCCCCCCCCACCCGGCCGCAGGGCTTGACTCAATATCCCAGTTCCTCGCTTTGATCATCGACAAACAGGATAAGCATCTCACTGCATATCTGCCCGTGCGGTAGGTTATGAAGCTTTGTAATGTGTGAGAGGTCAAGGCGTAATTGGGCTTGAACTTGTTTGTTTCTGTGTGATTTCGATGGATGGATTTGGAGAGTTATCTTTTTTTTAAGGTAACGGGAAACAAAGTGGACTTGTTGACGGGTTGGGTCACGTGGGTTAGTGCTGGATTTGGAAGTGTTTGCGGGTTGCGGGAAGTCGTGGTGGGAAAAGGGCCGAGAGTAGTACCGGTGGGAGGGCTCGGTGATTGTTGTGGTATTGGTGGGGCTGGTAGTGTATATTTGAAGGGCAAGGTAGCGGTGTGTATGAAAAATTTATGGTGGTCATTTGCAATTTGCGCATTGGTTATTGTAATACTACTACTTGGTTTGAATGATATCAAGGTGGACTTTTGTTTAATCTTTTTTTGAAGGAAGTGCCGGGCTCATTCCGTTTTGACCTTATTCTTGGTGTCCTCCCTCGCAGTCGCCTGTGTCATTATCAACACTGACGCAACTGATGCGATTGATCCAAAGAAAGCAACCATGGAGCTCCAGCCAGGGTTGAGCAAGGGGTAGATGATAACAGCGACGATTGCAAAGGCAAGGCCGAGGGCAAAGAATCCCCACATCAGACCATATGTTGGCGAGAACCACGACTTCTTGAACAAGGGTACAACCATGATGACATTGCCCATCACTGCCATGATACTGCTTTGGATCAGGTACCAGAAATCGGCATCTCCGATACTTCCAATTGCGTTGTCTTGCATGGAAAGCGCGAAGGCTTTGTATCCGGGGATTATTGCGACGATGATGAAGAGTAGGATCAAGGCGATGAGTGTTGCGGTTTCCTACATTGATACGTTAGGGTATTCTACACCGTAAGAAGCAGAAGACAGCTCTTACCACTTGACGTCCGATTTGCTCGTCTTGAGATGGAATTGGCGCCTCTTCGACAGCAATCAAAGGCTGGTGTAGCGGCTGTTCCAAAAAGGAGACCAATGAATGATGAGTGCCATCAGGATTCGACGATGCACTGTCCCAAAGGCTATCCAAGACCTTTATTCTAGCATCAATTCCATCAACAATCGGTGCTATATCCTCTGCATCGTCACCCTGCAAAGCGGCCATTTCATCCATAAGCCGCCGCCGCCCATCAAGAAGTTCTAGTTTTGTGCTGTGCAAAACACGCAACACGACATCTCCGCTCAGAGCACTCGAGTTCGCCTTCCATCCCAAGAAGATATCTACCATGAATTCCCAGTAAGGTATCTCGAGTGCATCTTGTAGATAGTGCAATATTTCTTCGTCGCGCCGCTGGGTAACTGTGAATCTTGGAGGCCGCTGCTTAGAGTCACCCGAGGTGATTGCGCTCTGCTCGCAAAAGTGGCCGAGATCGCCAATGTCAGCAGAGTCAGGATCTTCCTGCTTGTTCTGCATTTTGGCTATCGTCTTGCGGGCATCTTGTAGTAGCTGCTGGGCATGTTGCTTGCCAAATGAGAGCACGGCGACTTGGAAATATTCCGCGAAGCCTCGATCGAGAAATTTGGTGACATCAGCGATCTGCAGGAGCCTCAACTTGATTCTTCGGTTTCTCACGGTCTTGTATGGAGCGTAGCATCTGTCCTGTAACTGCCTAGGCACCTATGTTTTCTCTAGTAAGTTTCTCTCCGTTGACGATGCTGCTGGTGCTGAGTGTTGTACTTACACTTCTTCCGGCTTGGACTTGAGCTCTTTTTGCGAGAATCTCCAATGTGGATGTGTCTAGAAGTTGACTCCCTTGTGCCAGGCTACCGAATATCGACTGATTTTCTGAGTAGTGGAAGGTGATGCCATGGACACCACCGTTAATGACACCAGCTTGAAACCCAGAGTTATCGCTGCCAAAATCAACCCGTGATAATATGTTTTGATTAGGGTCCTTAGGATTTTCATGCGTTACTCCAGTTTGTACTCCATTGTTGTGGGCTGAGGTCTCTATGGGCCTTCCAGGAGCAGTATTACGCCCGGTGGGAGGAATCGGAATACTACTCAGATCCGCCTCGACTCCATGTATCTCTGAATTCTCCATTATAGCAGCCATAATATCAGTCACACTCATGGTTGGTTCCGAAAGTTCGAGATGGACTACGTCGTTAAGCATTCAGAGGGGGGTATTGGGGGCGGAAAAGCAATTTTTCCGTATTTTATGAACACAATGGTAGGAATCAATGCCGAAGGAGAAGGACTCCCGAGAGACAAGAATTAGAAGGAACTCGAGGACATTTTGACCTAATCACGCTTTATTGCCTGGCCTCTTGGCAATTCAATTTGTGGCTTTTAGGAAATGTACTCAGCCACGAATGGCTGCAGTACTGCGCCTCAATGACGGAGGACATCACTGGATCATATGTGCTGGCATCGAAAAACCAAAGCAGAAGGACGAAAAGAGAACGACCCTTTAGGCCACAGGCGATAAGAAGCCTGATGTATGTACATACGTATCAAAGGAGGCAGCCAGGCAAGTGGAGTGTGGAGCAGCAGATAGTCACGTGAGATCATGTTCCTAGCATGGCCCTGCCTTGTCAAATACAACAACCCAACATCACATGAATTTATTTTCTGTCATGCACGAATTCGATCAAGCCACGTCGCATGACAGTGGCTGTCGCCCTACTGACGTAGGCCACATTTGATCGCGTGTATCAGCCTCGAGGCTGTCTTTTGCGGCCACCAATCAGACGCTTTGTTGATCCGCTCCAGCTACGCCATGTATGTAGACACACATATAAGCCTTGTAGCCCCCTTCCTTTCTTTCTCAATTCTCTAAAACCCTCCTTTCGCGACCGTCCGAATACTACATTGAGCTTGACGCACATCGCGGACCATCAGGCGGCTCTGCCGCAGCACCCCCGCATCTGCTAAGCACCTGTTGGGTGAACCCAAGTTTCTTGTTAAGAAGCGTCTTGTTTAAGCGGCCTTATATAGGCCGCTTGAACAATCTCCGGCTACAACTAGTATGCAATGCCGAGAAAATGGCTGGATAGCGCTAGTGCTAACTACTGCCCAGTGATCATCGCATAGAGCAAGATCCGGATCTGTTCTTTGTCTCAGAAGCTTTCCAATTCAGTCCTGATGAACCATTATACGATTCGGTCTCGCTGGTGGACGGTCAGATACTTGATTATTCAGAGCGCAACAACGAGTGTTCACAAAGTGACCTGTTGGAGTGGACAAACTATTTGAGCAATGCAATATGCGGCGGTGACAAGAGTGTTGGCGTTGACGTTCCTATCCCGCCACCTCTTGGTACCCTGGACGAGAGTGTTCACCAAGGAACCTCAGGCGTCGGGTATTCAAACACGTCGAGTTGCATTGATCCCAGTTTGTTAACTCAACATGTACACGAACCTTGTTGTTCCTCTCTGTCATGGCTCGATCAATCCACCAAACAGACCTTAGCCGAAAACTCGCAATCGCAATTATCTCCACAACAAACCCGCCACTCAAAGGCGACAAACGCACGAGCACCAGCCACTCCCAACGATATGAGCATTGAAGCTTACCCGAGCCCTTCCTCATTGCCGTCTCTCGGTCGACTCACCCCTAAAGTAGCAAGCCCACCGGATACAACTCAGATTGGGTTAAACATACCAGACGGCAAAATTGCAATCGAGCCCGCAGGGATGAGCTTCATATGTAAGACTTGTACAAAGTCTTTTCCCAACAAGCTCCGCTATGATCGACATGCCAATATGCACAGCTGCAAGGCACCTTCCAGATGCGAACAATGCGGACAGTCAATAAAGCATCTAAAAGACCTTAAACGTCACCTGGGCTCCAACAATGCACTGCCTTCGTGTCCTGCACTCAAGAATGACTCCCCCCGGGCGAGTAGCTTCATGTGCTTTTGCAGCTCCAAGACCTATACTCGAAAAGACTCTCTTGTACGCCACTTACGAACGTCCAAGGCAGGGAACCATCGTTGTAGGACCTGCAATAAGAACCCTTGTGCTTGCTCATAAAATACCACAAATCCGGTCACCAATATGACCTACTTATAAATTACCACAAATTCGGTCACCAATATGACCTGCTCAAAGATATTTGCGACTGCGAGTCGAAGCGAATCTGTATTGTGGAATGACAGATCGCACTCCTCATCATTGGCGGAGTTCTAATCATAATCAGGACACTTCTGTCATCGAACAGATCATGGACATGTCAGCATGATCATGGCTTAATAAATCCTCTATTATCAGAGGTGCGCAAAGGTATTCTGGGGTATTGAAGACCATGGAAGGGCCTCTTCTCGAAGAACATCAGGACTTGGTTGCCTCACGGCGCCTTTTGCTACTCAAATACGCACTTGTCTTACCATCTACTAAAATTAAGATGGCATTGATGTGGGCACGGAGTCGTTTACCGTTCCCATCTGAGAGAAGAGGTAAAAGAGACAACCTGAAGTGGGGATATCGGAGCGTTTATGAATGTTTCCTTTTTCTTTTCCTGGTTCCATTTACCTACACTCATTTTGCTTTAGTTCCTCTGGGTTGGCATGTGTGGGCTATCTCCCACCGAATTCGCCTCTTTGGCATTTACCCTCTGGCTTTTGTTTCTTTTCCTTTTTCTGGTTCATCTCAGTTTTATTTTCCTGGCCGTTTCATTATTTTTCAGTTCAGGCACCGAGGGTCGAAGCAGTCGACTCGTGTGTATGCTCTGCCCGTTCTTTGGTAGACATTTTAGCAAACGGATTGGGCTTTCCTTTTCGTGGCCGCCGCCAAGGAGTCAGTTGATTGCATATGGTTGCGCCTGACAGATATGGCGCGGTCGGGGAATTTCTTTTTCGTGGCTGCCGCCAAGGAGTCAGTTGATTGCACATGGTTGCGCCTGACAGATATGGCGCGGCCAGGGAATTTCCATTCATTGGGAACGTCATACAGGTTCGAGCGAGGTACTCTTATGAAAGAGAAGCATCGGCAAAGCTTGGTAGATTGAGGAGGGGCCTGGAGGTATTCGAAACACGAGTCTAGCAGCTGCAGTATGCTTTCAAAGCAGAAGACCAGCCGGCCTACAATAGCCCAAAAGGTAAAGACACTGTAAAGAGAAGCGCAGCGGCGCTCGAGAAGAATATCAAGAAGCCGTACCAATGTCAAAATCAAGCAGCCGTGGTACGCTTGCTAAACGGAGAAGCCGCGGGCAGTAGCTCGAGCGAGGGACTCCGGGGAAAGAGAAGCCGCGGACTTGTCTTAGTTTCAAATACTATTGATTATGAGTTGATGAGTTTTGTGATGCATGACGAAACTTGGTCATAGTGTGAAGATCAGAGCCAGAACAATCATCTTTAGATTCGGCCGACATCTAAAGAGTTGAAGTATTACTCATGAAGAACCATAAAAGCCGCCGCTATACCGATCTCCATTGCTTCTCCCCAAGCCTTTTCTCCCTTTGCGATCTCCGTTTCACTCTCTGCCTCTCCGCTTTCTTCACCCGCGCCTTTTCAATCCTTTCCAACTCCTTCTCCAGCGCGGATTGGCCTTCATTCATCAGCACCGATTGACACTCTGAACTTGCATCTGGCCATCCACTTCCAGCCATCGCTGCAAAACTAGGTCTGCCACGGAAACGGCGACGCTGCAGAGCTATCTTCTCATTGCACTTGTCTTGATTGACAAGAGAAGGAAACTCTTCTTCTGTGTTGTGGAGTTTGAACAGAACAGGCTTCTTTGGTATCTTCATGACAAATATATGCCTGCCGTTGTGCCAGAAAGTGTCGAGACAATTTCCGCTTTGTCGCATGCGGTTCTTCGAGCGACTGGCGTAGACGGCGCAATTCCCATGATATTCGTCCAGGAATACGTGTGCCTCCAGTGATACCCCGATTTCTACTGATGGAAGAGCGAAGGGAGGTTCATTTAGCGAGTAGACATCTGCAAAGCTTTCATTCCGGAGAAAACCAGTGATATTCCAATGGCTGTGTGGTATTGAGTCGGTTGATAAGAACCGATCGAGTTGTCCAGTTCCGTTGGTTAAGGTTCCATCTTTCCATGTGAATCGTATGAATGCACCAGCTGGCTCTTTTTTCATGTCCTCAATAATCCCCGATTTAGATTCCCAGGTATTGACACTCTGAGCTGCTTTTGTATGGTGTTTTTCATGCGGAGCAATAGGCGTATCCTCAAAGTCGTGGGTATAGTGATCATGGCATCTTGCTCGCCTCGGTACTGAATCGGTCTCTTGACGCCGTAGCACATAACCTGGACATAAAGACATTTCTGTTGTCTGGGAACGCAGGAATGTAGCTGGTAGCCATGGTGGAGGCTTTGCAGAATGATACGCAACACCGTTCGAGTTTCGTCTTCTCCTGTTGAGATGAGTCTGTTTTGGCAGTGTACTTTTCAAGCATGGCTTCCAGGATTTGCTCTTTCCGGCTGCGCGTCTCCAGTTCTTGAGTGATGATCGGCGGTGAGCCATACGCCACTCCACCTTGGTGTCGATTTGGAGCGAAGACAAGGTTTGCTCGAGCTTATCGACAATCTCCAGTATAGTATCATCCCTCATCAGAACCTTAGCAGCTCTGAAAGGCTCCTTTTCCACCTTGTTTCTGTGACGTGGCTTGGGGTACGGTCGTTTCTCCTGCGGCGCCTGTTGTTGCCTTTGATAGCTTTCCGGATTTGGCTCTACCAATCTCTTCCAGATCTTGCATTCAACTGGATCGTCGATAGTATCAAAATCCCAGAAAAACTCAGTATTATCTGCCGGGTAAATGAACAAAATTGCGAATACTCGACGCGCAGAAAAGAACGAGTTGCCTCGCAAGTAATAGAAATATTCTGCACATTTCCTGCAATTCGCATATCCCCTCAAGACGGAATTCATAGTATTCGCGCTTGATTCAATGGTTTTGTAGTCGAAGTCTTCTATCGCGCGGCGTGTATCCATAAAGCCCTCCAAAGCGGTCTCCCATTCTAGCCCTGGAGATGGAATTGGCAAGAGTGGATCTTCCCATAATACATCCAGTGGAAGTGATTCTTCATCTACCCTAAAGTCAATCTCGGTGGATATCATACCCATCGTCTCCCTGTGTTTCCATGGTCTCGACCCCCAACGCTCTCTTGTCTGGGCATCGGATCGAGGTGCGGAAAAGCTGCTCCGCGAATGAGAGGTGTGCGGCTGTGCTGCAAACGACATAGCTAATATAGTGAGGTTTGAAGCATGTAGTATCTCATTGATAGTGGTTTGTAGGTCATAAAGCAAGCATCGAAAGGCTCTTGTTAAGTTGAACTGTGACCGGGAGATTTGAACAAGGCTGAGAAGTGGCTCAGCTCAATCCAGCGGCCTGACTTCTCATCCAATCGCTACGCCCTACCCATGTCGGTTGGACCATGATAATGAAGCTGGATCGGACATGGCAAACGCCAAAACATCCTCCTTCATATCTCTTCCAAGCGTATGGCAGGGTGTCATGGGCTCGATAAAGTGGGGATCACGCCGTGATTCTATTGGCTGATATTTGCGGCCACCAACCAGCATGCCCGAGCTGTATACCTCTGGTCTCTCATGCAAATCACAGCACCCATCCACCTGGGCCTAGTGTTGTCAAATGGAATGTAAGATTGCGGCCACCATTCATAATTTGAGAATGCCGTTAAAATACCCCCTAGCTCCAGAAGTGGGCGCTTTCGTCCGCGCTATGGCCGTTACTTCACGACAGAAGCGACGCGGCCTCCAATCAAGATTTCCTACATTGCGGCCCTCAACAGTATCCAGTCCTCATCTAAACGAAGACTGCGGCCGCGAATCAAACTCGCCATGAGCGTAGTTTGCGGCCCTCAATATCAACCACAGGATATGAAGATGAGAACTATATAGATGGGATGAGACATACGGACCCAATTCAAGCAGCAAATAAACCAAGCTACATTATACATTTGAAGCCCATATTCAAAAGTTTGAGCAATTTAACTCTCGCTCACAATCTATTTCCTCGCCATGCAGAACCACCAAACCAAACACATGCCTCCTACAGCGGGTTCATCTCGTCTGAAATCGGATGCCCAAACTAGTAGCGACGCCAATAGAACAAACAGCGGGAATAAGGATTCTGGTGAGAAAGTTGCGCCGGTTCGTACATGCATCAAAAGCATGGATGCTATGATGACTGATATGAAAACAGCGGAATAACCAGGAATCAAAAGAAACAAACGTGAAAGAAGGAAAGACAGCATGGCACATGGAGCGATGGCTGAACGAGACAACTAAGGAGTCAACATGGAGTGTACATGGGCGCTTCTGAGTTTTATATAGATATGTGGGAAACGTATTAGGCGTTTATGGCCGGGTATCTGCGGGCAAGAAAGACGTAGAAGAAATGGAGAGTTGAATAGCTGCGAGATCAGTTAGAAAATATGAACTATCGCGATACCTGGTACGATAAATGAGCTCTACATGTCTTCACTTCGATATAAATCGTCTATGGCATATTTTCCGCCTATTACAGAAAAAATGGGTACACCAACCTAGGTCCAAACTTCATTTCTCAACTCACCACATCCCTTCCATGCATCACCTCCAAGACTCGCAGATTTATATGTGCCTACCCAAACCGCCATTTCACACGATACTAAAACAGCAAGACCTTCTCCTAACCAACCTTCTCCGATCACCAGCCACAACAGCAAACACCACCACCACCATCATCCTCACAAGCCCCAAAAACTCTGGTTCACAGAACATCAGTCCCAAACACCTCCCCACCATACATCCACGCACCCAAAACCCCTCAACGCGATATACATACCCCAACCCTCCTCCATCTTCCATCTTCCATCCCCCATCC